TGGCCGGCCGAAGCTGCTCGGAGACCGACCTCGAGTTAAGACTGTCTCTTATACACATCTAGATGTGTATAAGAGACAGGCGTCGTCATGGTGAGGTGTGTTCTCTCTCTCTCTCTCTCTCTCTCTCTCTCTCTCTCTCTCTCTCTCTCTCTCTCTCTCTCTCTCTCTCTCTCTCTCGCGCGCGCGCGCACACCCACCCACCTGTGTTCGTGCGTTTGTGTGAACCCCCCCCAAAAAAGCACGACTCTGCCAGACTGTTTTCTGTTGGACTTTCACCAACTCGTCAGGAGGTTGAACCCCAACAGTCTGCCCATGATGCATTTGCGTGCATGTGCGTGTGTGCGTGTCCATCCGTGAGTGCATGTGCGTGAGTTTGTGCATGTGCTTGTTCAAGCGGCAGGCGGGCAGGCGGGCCGGCGGGCGGGCGACCGTGTGAGTGAGTGCTGTCTCGTTCGCAATACACAGGCTCTGTGAGCCGCCGAAGACATGCGTGGGGGCCGAACCGGTGCGCCCTATAGAAGACCGGCCCCCCTGGAACCGGTTTTTCCCCACGCCTGGCTAATCTGGGCCGTTGGCCAACTGGTACCGGGCCGACGGCCTGGATCGCCGCGCGATCTTAGTCTTATGTTGACGTGGCACATTGTGCGCATATCGCTGACGCTGACGTGGCATATTGTAGAGAATATATGGAAATTGATCAGTTGAAGGAAGTGTTCTCACCTGATATGATGGAAGTAGAAAATGCCCCGGTAGCGCCCTCACCTTTTGCGGTACTGGGTGCCAGAAGGGAGGGAGTGGACTCGTTGACAGAGCTGCAGTCCAGCCTGCACAGGATGGTGAGCGCTAACGTGGCACATTGAGTGCATATTGCTGACGTGGCACATTGAGTACAGAGTGCTGACGTTGCAGAGGTGGGGAGCCTGAAGGAGAAGAGGGCATTACACTTCTTCCAGCTGTCTATTCTCCCCTTCTCTCCTTTTTCTGGATACTGTGGACTTTGAGACATACACGTAGTAATGAGGAAACATGTACTTCAATGACTTCGAACTGATGGACTTATTGGATTGATTATCTGACGACATTGCACGGCATTGTTATCTACAACATGATCGGATGACAAGACTGGGTTCATTACAAATGTGAAAGGCATTTGCTCTCTCTCTCTCTCTCTCTCTCTCTCTCTCTCTCTCTCTCTCTCTCTCT